GCTGCTCTTCACCCCGAACTTTTTTTTTTTTTTGTCAACAAAGAAATGAAGACTCTTAATTTTATCTCAGGAAAATATTGTTTGTGTTATAAATATTCAGTCATTATTATGTATTAGACCATTATTGTGAGTTCGGCTGATTAACAAAATGAAATTCACAGATATTGGAGAAAAAAAAATTAATTTAATCTACAACACAAATACAATGTTATGTTTACTAACATATAAAACTTCAGTTTTTGAGGACACAGGTTTTATTCCTACATAACAGTTGTATTTCCCTGAAGTAGATCATGAAACACAACATACCTTGTCATACTGTCAAAGAGCACTCATCTATTGTTGTTTTGAAGTATTCAAGCCAAGGCAGTAAAAAAGGGAAATAGATCATACAAGATCAAAAATTACATGGATACTCTTCATCATAATTAAAAGTAATTTTTCTAGGATTCATTTAAACATAAAATAATTTATTTTGTCAAATTTAATCTAATGTTGCAGCAGATCAAGCCTGTAGGGTAAGTATTTCCTTCTTCTATATCATAGGAAGCCTTTAAAGGATTGTCATAAACTACACCTAACACGAAAAATACATACTGAACATGCTTTAAATTAGACATTAATTGTTGAGAATGGGATAAAGGTAATGATGAAGGAACAATTTAAAAAAAAATGCAGTTTGAGGAATCTACTTTCATTCCTCTTTCGAGTAGGCCATTTATAAACAATTTATCATTAATTTAAGGTGATATGGGCCTACTGATCAAGTTGTAAGTAAGTGTACCTCCTGCTTCGACCAGGAAACTATCAAACTTTCACTTCATTTAAAAAAATTAAAATGAGCAATAAAAAGGATGGGGTGATAAATGAAAAATAATAATAATTAAAAAACAGAAATTATTATTAATACAATCAGGAATGTGCCAGTCTATTCCTTAGGAGATAACAAGGGAATGCTTCAGCTGGAGTGATGATTGATTTTTCTTATTTTGACTCTTAAACAGTTTCCGTAAATTACCAAAAAGTCTCATGACAATTACACATGCATAAGGAACACTTAGGTCTATTGATGATTGGTTGATTATCACACACACACACAAAAAAACAACAAAAATAAACAAACAACTTTTTTATCTAACTAACATATAATAGTTTCAACTTAAAAAAAAAACATTGAAAAATATAAAAAAAAAGTATTTCCAATGATTACCATCTCCAGCATGGACCATAAATGTGTATGCATTAAATGATAAATAATAGTTTTTTTTAAGAATAATAATAATAACAATTCTAAAGAAAATTTACCGTTAGGAGCTTTTTCAGAAACTTTTACATATGCTTATGATAAAAACAGTTTCTATTCATGTTTATATTTCTATTTGTGTTATTCTACTCTTTCCCACCAGAAACATTGGTCATGGGAGGGTTCTGACTAAAAAGGAAGGATAGAAAAATAGAGCCAGTCTCTGGGTAATATTTTTTTGCTCTTTGTTTTTTTACAAGAATCTTCCACCATAGTGATAAAATCTGAAAAAATGAAGTAACTTATTAAAACTGATTTCAGGCAGTTGTAGGATTAATTCTACTATTATTGTACTCGCAATTTTTTATTGGCTGGTTCTTTGGGTGCCTCAGTTTCACTAACTTTGGATTTTTCTTCAACTTCATCACTTAAAACGGAACTGTCGAGGTTTGAATCCTCAGACTTTTCTGGACGAGTATCAAATGAAGAGATTTTTGAATCCTGGCTGTCATCTTCTGGCTCTTCAGAGTTGTTATCTGGTTCCTTGTCCACAACAGCATCTGTCGATGTTTGGTCATCTAGTTTTTCATCATGCTGGTGACTATTTGATTTACCATTTGGAGTGGCAGGGTTCTCATCTACTTCTGCTATGGGCATTCCTTCCAGCAGGGAAGGTTCAAGCTCTTTTGCCAAGTAGTGGGTCCACAGGGTAAGCTCCACTTTATGAGGAGTCCATTTCTCTGCCGAATCTACCAAGAGTCAAAAACCAGGTAAAAGTTGGAAATTTCTGATAAGGCATAATGTTTCAGTTTTATAACAGCACAGTCATAAAAATAGAGCTTTAAACCAAAAAACAGAATGAATAAATTCAAATATTGATTTATACATACGTGATTACATAAAATAAGGGTAGTAGTTAGTATTTCTCAGTTGCTCTATGGTACATTGTACGGCTACCACAGTGGAAAAAAATCATAAAACATTGCAGTTCAAATGGTATGTGCTTGAATATAAATTTAATTTACAAGTTAAATTAGTGAAGGTTTTAATGTATAAAAGTAAGATCTACTGAAAAAGCAAAAACTAAGATTGTATAGGATTCAAACCCAAATTTTTTTATGTACAATCAAGTAGTCTAATTAATCAAGCTCAAGCTATTGAGCTCAACACCACAACCAACAGACTTCATTTTATTAATTCGTTAAGATCGAAACTGTCGCAATTTTCAAGCTATATTAATCGGCCTTTAATGTTTAAAATTGACGTACGGCATTTTGGGTTGGACGTACCAAATTCAGGTTTTGAAGTAAACAGAAATAACTGAATGGAAAAATGAGCCAGAGTAAGACTTGAACTTGAGCACATGTTAGCCATCACAGCATTCTAATGAAATAAGTAGTTCTGAGAACCAATTTATTCAATTATTCATGAGCATAAGGTTGTTGTTTCAAAGGCCCACCAAGATAACAATAACAACTACAGTCATGTAATAAAACAAGTACTGTAGCTACAAGCTTTATACAGAAACCACTTACTTGTAATAGCTTTTTTTTTTTTATAAAAGCACTAACATATTTATTTTCATTATAAAATTTACATAACGTTAACTTGTTGGCTACCTGAAATTCCTCAGATAACTAGAAATCTTCTCTACAATTTTTTCATAATATAGCTAAATATCTAGGTGCAATTAATTAAAAAAAACAAAAACTCGAGCTCTTTCGAATAGTTAACTATTCTTCTTCTTCAGGAAACTAAAGGATATATAGGATTTCCTTTACGATAAACTAAGTGTCCAAGTGTTAATTAACAAAGTAGACGGTACTTTAAAAACAAAACTCCACATGCAGAGTGTTGATTGTATTATAAATAAATAAGTGTTAAATTGAATCAGCTTCAGTGAAAAAAAAATATACAAAATTTCCTTCAGAGGATAATTACCGAAAAGAAGTAGAAAGAAATTCTCTCAGATGTATTAGACAAAGGGGACTGTAATTTATAATCACACAAGAATGCCAATAATTGTCCCTAACGTAGTGTTTGTTTTCATTATTTTGCAATTGTAGAAACATATGCACATGATAGCTTTACGACCATCTGGAATGACCACCAGCAGTATTGTTTAGCAACTGACCTTCGTGATGACAGTTTGGTATTATTGATTAGATAGCATAAACATGTTGCCCACACCTTGGGCAGAATGAAATTCCCTGATTTCCTCTGATCAAAATATGTTGTAACAATGAATAAATAACACACAATGTTAAAATAGATAAATAATTACAAACCACCTAAGATACCCACTGAACCCAAACTTCCCTTCTGCACCTGCTTACCACATCATGTAAGACAGAGTTCCCTGATCACAAAATAGTTGAAAAAATTATGTGATTCTTACTATCTCCAAATTGACCTGAAAGTTATTATGAAACCCAAATTCAGACTAAAAAGTTTTTTCCACTACAAAGATTGTTTGGCGACTGCCCATTGTTCACATCTCATCTACTTATACATGTGTAGAGACTGTAAGGCCTTCTATATTGGTGAAACCAAACGTCACCTTAAAGTACAAGCATTTGAACATATGTGCATATCTATAAAAACTGGAAGACCGGTTAAAAACCCTCCCAACTCAGCTATCTATCAGCACAATACAGAAACAGGACATCCAATTTCTCTTTCCAACTTTAAAGTTCTCTCAACAGCCAAACATGATACTAAACTTCTAATAAAAACTCTTCTTCCATCCCTAAATAACACACAGTTTTCACTTGATTTAAATCTATTTTAATTTTGTTATTTCTTATGTATATATTTCTGTTGTAATTACAAATATTGTTTGTTTGTTTTGTACCTCTAGATTATTGATGATGGAATTTTGATCATTCCGAGACATTTAATAAATCTTCCTATTATCACATTTGTGTTGTGCTTCATCATTACAATTACAAACATTTTTAATTCAGACCAATCTCTGGCCTCTAAAACGTTTACTCTATATGTTTCAAGATTTTCCACATCATCATCTACTACATAATCTCCATAGTAATTATTACCTCTATCTCAAGAGCATACCGTGGTCTGAAAGTCCATAGTTTTACAACAATACTAAAAACTATTAATCCAATTCTGTTAAGCTGTGCATCCTCATCTTTACCATCAGCCTTTATTCTTTCCTACCCCTAACATCTTGCTTGACAAACAATTTGTTTTTTTTTTATTTATTTCGCACAAAGCTACACGAGGACTATTTGCCCTATCCGTCCCTAATTTAGCAGCGAAAGACTAGAGGGTAGGCAGCTAGTCACCACCACCCGCTGCCAACTCTTGAGCTACTCTTTTACCAACAAAAATTGGGGTTGACCATCACATTATAATGCACCCACAGCTGAAAGGGCGAGTATGTACAGTGGGATGGGGATTCGAACCCACAACCTTCAGATTGCTAGTCAAGTGCCTAACTACCTGGCCGTGCCAGCCCTATTTCTCGGATATCTGATGCATTAAATTACAGATTATTAGATAAAAAAAGGATGTATTTAGTCATTCAGTGATGCACATTCAGCTGTTTCTATGTTGATTCATGGATAACAAATACTGCTGTATTCTCAGAAACCTTTACATGTGTCACGTTATTAGTTTCTCTTAATGAAACATTCTTTATTTGAATATTTTTTATTTGATGTTTTCCAAAACTTATTATTTCCAAATCACTGATATTATACATCTCCATTGATATTTTGCTATGTATAGGTTTTTCTTCACTTCCACTTGCGGTATACTATCTGTATCTTGGAGATACTGCCTGTCTACAACTCCTGCCCAAGATGTACTACATATCGTGATTTTGTGTGCTATAGACAATGCTTAAGTGATGTAATTTTAAAACAAAATTATAGAATTATTAGTTATTTTTTATAATAACTGAGCATGTGTAAGTACTGATATGATATACCAAACCAAATAGTGGTATTGACCGTCACATTATAACATCCCCACGGCTGAAAGGGCGAGCGTGTTTGGTGTGACGGGGATTCGAACCCGCGACCCTCAGATTGCGAGTCGAGCGCCCTAACCACCTGGCCATGCCGGGCCTATTATATAGTTTAACCACACTTATCAAACCTTATTGAAAAAATTTTAATACTCTTGGTACACATGGAATATTTATATTCATTCTTGAGAAATTTCAGAATACTGAGAATAAACACTAGGTACTCTCTTTTGCAAACATACAAATTAATTTAAACAACTGTCGCTCTCATCACAATAAAATACGCATGCTAAAAATTTTATCACCTGTTGTTATCATTTCCATCAGTTAAAGAGGTATATTTTACAACTGTGCCTTGCTCTTGATAAAAATACAAACTGAAATAGCGGGATCCACCCGAAGTGTTATTTTGCTAACACTACCCGATTTCAATAAAAAAACACTCACATTAAAATTTTTCAGAGACAATGTTCCGAAATGTTTCTTGATAATTAACCCAAGAAAACTTTGAAAGGACTCTCAACTTTTTAGTTAAGATACTTAAGTTCAATCATTCAAGAATTGAAAGGCACGTAGGGCTAGTACTTAATTACTTTTTCCATAATGCAAATGGATGGAAATAGTTACACATTTTCCAAGGATGGGATGCCAGTCCATTGCAGTTTAATTCCCAGCAATTAGCTGGTACCTATTTTACAAACGGGTAGATTACAGCAAAGTGGAACATGTAACCTTGTGATTCATTGTTTAAATAGATTGAATAAGTAGAGTTGTTTAAACATTTGTTTAACAACAAGTAAAAGCTTGGCATTGTCTATTCTTTCATTGGGGTGTGTGTCTTATCCAGAAGATTTTCCGTAACATAAAATTAAATATTTTTTTCAATTAAGCTTCCAGCTTTTTCTTCCTCACAACCAATTTCTTTTTTCCCAAAACATATAATAATTTTACTCTTGATTAAAGCTTTTATCAAGTGTTTTATATTATTACACTGAATTTGATGCAAGTTTATTTATTAAAATTCCAAAATTAATTCCCATTAACAAATAAAACAGAAGTTAAAACAAATTTTTTTAAGTTCAAACATTACCTACTTAAAGATTAAACGTGTATGACGCTGTTACGTAACACATTAAGATAAAGAATATAACTATTCATTTGATAAGACAGAGAAGTTCAAGTAATTCTTTACAAGAACATTTAAACTTTTCTTAAGTTTGATTACTGACAATGAGTTTTATTTAGTTATTATAATTTATGGTAAAGTTTTAAATATCTTGTTTTATAAGTAAACGATTTAGAAGACTGAAGATAAGTTAATCATTGTGATACTACGAAGTTTAGGAGATTTAACAATCACAAATTCTATTCAAGGGTATGAAAATCCAACATACATATCATATTAGGCTGTCATAGTTTGTTTAAAAATTTTATATTTTGGCCAGAAGAATGTTAACATCTTCCTGACCCAAAAATTAAAATGAGTTTCAAATATATAGCCACCTCTCCACATGTACATGTACCAAGTCTTTGAATTAAACACCCACCCTTACATGTAATAATACTGAGCCACTTTATGATGCAATATCAGCGTTAGAAAATAGTCCTCCAAAAATAGGGTGGTGACGATCATGCGTACACTAAATGATGAGGCACATGCTTGAAGTAGGAAGAAAAGGTGGGTAGTTCTGTAGGGAGGTGAGTATCTACCTAAGACACATTTCTAGGTAAGGAAAATGTTAATTTCCAAAATTTTACTTGCCTATCCACAGAACAGATAGCTAGAATCCCACACTGAGGTGATGAAGAGACCGGTGTGGATAGAGAAAATTAAAAGGATGATCTCCACTCTGATAATAAAGCAACAGAAAGAGAAAACTATTGAAGTGTGTCATTCAATAAGGGGAGAGGAAGATTCTAGTGGAATCATCACTCTGTGGGAGACCACACACATCTAAAGCATGTAAGTCTCCACTTAACACAATATCTATAGTCAAAAGAACCTCCCGTTTAGTGGTAAGGTGTCACAAAGATGGGTGAAATGTAAATACTGCTCAACCATCCATATATCTCTGGGAGTTGGCAGACATACTTTCTTGTAGCTAGGGTAATAAGTCATACAGTACATGAGAAATACTTATACAGAAAGAAGGTGCAGGGAAAAATCTGCACCCCAAGGAAAATGCAAGACCCTTTAAGCTGGTTCCAATCATCAGGAATAGTCCAGTTCTGTTAGGTATAGTGGCCTGTGCTACAGTTCTAGGTGAACACCTCTCCCATACTTCTGATCTAGGGTGTATCCAATTCGTGTCATACCAATGAGATTACACTAACACTAAAGGGGAACTCTCTGTATTGCCCCCCCCCCCAGCAACTTGGTACTTGAGAAGCAAGAGTTCCCCCACTCCACTGAAAGACTGTGCAACTGCAACTGGTTACTACAAACAGGAGCTGATGGCAGGGAACCACACTTGTATAGCTTAAAAGGTAAAATACTGTAATTGCTGAAGCAGTCTTGCAAAAAAATCCCATCTCAACAGCAACATTCAGCAGGGGGCAGATAAGCTTAACACTTTTTGTTATCCCTACTTGATGTACTGTCTCCAATATCTATATATTTTGTATGTTGAGATGGGTCCTTGTTCTATAGAAGTTGCAAGAAATAGAAATAATGAACAACTCGTATCTTTAGAGCCTTTGGGGAAGATTGAAGAATGGTGACTCGTGGGGAGATGAAACCTAGAGGCAGAAGAAATTGCAATGATGTGTAATGAACATAGGACAAAGGTTTTTGCAACAGATGCTGTGAGATAGTGAATTACATGAGAGGCAACATGAGAAAGATGAAAGGTTTCATCATAGACAGAGGAATAAACACACTAGATGAGTTGGTTAACTTCTGATTGGAAAAGACAGAAGGAGTTAAGAAATGACAAGAACAGGAAACTTATAGCAAATAAAAACAAAAAGATGACATCATTTGTCTGAAAAGAAACATTACAAGCAAGAAAACAGTAAATTGTTAAAACAGGGCAAAGGAGTCTATCAAGATCTGAAGGATCATACAGAAAAGAAAGGGAAGGGAGGGTGACTGGAGCAAACATACATCACCCTCCTGAGCAACTTAAGCCTTAGAGAGGAAAGAACAATTGGGGGATAAAATCAACCTGTTAATGCCATTAAAGTATGTGAGAGGCATAAAAGGCAACTGATAATGAGAATAAAATACTTTGCAAGAGAGAAATGATACAGTAAATAGGAGATAAAAGAAAAGGTTTGAACAGAGGACATATAAGAGTCCTGAGAACTAAGCAGAGGTTTTTGTTCAAAGCAGGGACCAATCATGAAGATTGACTGAATAGATGGGCTTAGAAGAGGTCTATAAGCACTGGAGGAAGGAAAGATAATGTACATAGAATAAATGGAAGGTTGTTAAAAAAGTCGTTCTGTAACCAGTAATTAAAACCAGAAATAAAAAAGGAAGTATAGTGAGAAGAGTTGAACAGTTTGTGGCGATAAATTACAAGGGTTGACGGATTACAAGAATGAGCAAGAAAAACTTGTCTACCTTGCAAGGGACTGGAAAAAAGACACATGTGAAGATGAATGCATGGCATATTGTGGTGAGAGATGGATGTCCGAGGCTGAAATAAAAAGGGTCCTTCAAGATGAAAAAATAGTGGCCCCAGGATCGCTATAAGGTGAAAGAGTAGAAACCATGACTGAACTGGCTCAAGAGAGTTAATAAGAAAAAAACCCATAAGGAATACTGTGAGTTAAAGATAGCATATTGCCTGGAAAGAAGTCAAACAGGAGGATAAGCATTCAGAAAGAGGGTGGACCAATCCAGACTCAAAGGGAATATTATCAGGGTCATGGAGTCTAGGACTGGAGACCAAAAAGGTGAAAACATGGTGTAAAGAGGAACCAGAAATACATTAATAAGAGCACTCCCAAAATGGTAAAAATTTACAGAAAGTCCAGATGTAAGAACCACTCTGTCAGAAGGATTCAGTCGAAGAGAGACAGTCAATCCACCACTAAATTTCAAAGTTCCCAGAGTAAATAAACCAACAGCCAGATATTATCGAGGAGCTTGAAAAAAAAAAGAGGTCCCAAAAGCAGACAGTTTAATTGTTAAAATATATCAAAACAGGATATCTAGACAACTGTTACAAAAGATGTTAGCATGCCTACTGAACTTTCTATATGTCAATGATGGTGATGTGGAAAGAATGTTCCACAGGAGAATACACCCCTGAAAATGGTGAAGTTATCAAGAACCATATTCAGCTAGAGGTATGTCTGAACAGGTGTAAGTGGGAATAGAGGTGGAGGAGGATTGATGCTCAGAGTCATGTGGAAACATTCAAACCACTACAACAGTGAGATGTAAAGAAAGACAGTGAATCACAAGATATATTCCATTAATATCCCAGAATTTACTGAAAAGAACAAATCAAAAAAAAAAGAAGGAAATGAGAAACAAGAGCCCCCAAAAGAAACAGGACCTTCTGCATAGGAAGAGAAGAAGACATAAGAACCTTGAAAACTGGAAGCTCCATATCTTGGAAATGTAAAGAAGGTTGAGCCCACCCAGAAAATGAGGTGATGAAGACACCTAAATGAATTAGATACAGAACTGGAGACAATATTGACTTAGAAGCTTAAAGGAGAAGGTAGGAATCAACAGAAGATGCCTCCCAGGATAGGGCTATGAGACATTAAAATTGACAACAGATATTATTATCAACATATGATATACTATAAACCAGTACTAGTACCACCGGTGCTGATGGCCCAGTACCACGGATACCAATACTGGTACCGACTGCAAACCCTGGTATACACTAAATGCTTAAGAGGAGTACTGTTCATGGAGGATGTATTGTCTCCTACTGGTGGAAAACTATAGTCTAATGCTGATTACGTCATAGATTGATGCAGTACCTGTTATTATGTGTAGATGTTGGAGTTTCATTCAAAGACTTGGTTAGTGTGCAAAAAATTTTCAGTAGTAGTGCAAAGTATTAACTTTCTGTTCTGTGGAGAGGGGAGTAGCATTTTTGTAAGCAATTTTTAATCCCCCTTTCGTTTTAGTGTTGTTGTTTTTTATATAATGGCTAAGACAATTTAAATAACAAAATTTCGCATAATTTTTAACAATTTTATACTTTTTTGTCATTTTGTACATAAACACACTCGATTCCTTGTGATAACTCTAAAATCATCAACTTACTTTGCTTATTCAGTCGATCACAGCACTTCTTAATCTGTTCGTTATAATTCAAGTATTCCGCTACTGTATAGTCAATTGCTTCAACACCTGGTGTCGACAACATACTTTCATCAGCCATGAATGCAACCTGCTCGGGGTAACCTGCTGCCAAAATAGCTATAAAAAATATTAACGGGATTAATACTTTACAATTTTAATGTTTTACCTGACTATACTTTGAGTTATTAGCTGGGAAAGATTTCAAGAGCATAAGGCTGAACTTCATATAAAATTAAGACACTACATGCTTTACTACTGTTCATATAACTTGGTATTCTTCTTTAAGAATGAGCTTTCAATTACACAAACAGAAGCAAGGAACTCTTGATTAAAAGGAGTAACAAAGAAACATAAAACTGTAGGTCAAAACTTCAGAATTCATTATTTATTAATTTTTTAAAAAATACAAGTCTCAATACTTTGTAACATTTCTACGTAGTAAGTACCGAACTTTCTGTCAAATCCTGAACGATTATAATAACAAAATAACAAGATCAAAATGTTCATTCAAGGTCTTCAGTTGTGCGTTTGACAAAAAAAGTCATTTCTAATCTTATCATACAACAGGCTTTTAGCAAATTTCGAAATCTATGTTCCAGTTTTGTGGAAATACAAGAAGTATTATTAAAATCTTATAAACTGATTGTATACAATTACTGTAATACATCTAATAATTTATGAGTTGATTAGAATAATATGTAAAGCTAAATTAAAAAAGATAAGTACTCTAATGATTCATAGAAATGATACCACAATACACATAACTTGTATGTCTATATATTTATTTGATCATTCAGCTGGATTTTCTTGATATCATCCCGATTTGTGGCACACTAACTTCAACCTATAATAGATTATACTGATTTCATTTAATTGCTTCTGCTTCTTTAATTTACAGATGTTTGTCAGTCAACCATTCAACCAGAGTTTTAACCTAGAGCAATGTTTCTTATGTACTTACATATCAGTGGTCCACAACAGCTTAGGAGACAGTGAACCAATGCCTAGTGTCAAAAAGGTTGAGAGATACTGATCTAGAGAACCTCTCTATTAAGCTATTAAAAAGTATGAATGAGTACAGATTTCCAGCAGGTATCAAGTAGCCACAATATACAGTAGATTATAGAGTAAGTACAGCAGAAAATAAACTGAGCTCATACAGCAAATACAAGTGGAAAAATATCATCTTTATTCACAACAATGAATTTCAATTCCAATGAATGGCATCATTATTAACATTCTTCTCGTTGCTATTTCATTTCGTAGCCCAACATAGACAGATAATATAAGGACTAGGTTTATTAGTAGAATGTTGTCACAGTTTATATTCTGTAGCATTCTCTAGCTTTTGTTCTGTCAACATTTCAAGACTTCAAATGGAGTTTTCAGATTTGAACAAAACACTGAAGAATGAAATATGACATTAATATAAAGTAACAAGCATTCCATGTTAATTTTTGATGACAGCAGAGGTCAAGAGTCATTCTGTTTTCTATATGATGAGGTCAAGATTCATTCTGTTCTGTTTACGATGAGGTCAACAGTCATTTCGTTTTGTGTGACAAGGTCAAAAGCCATTCTGTTCTGTGTATGAAAAAGTCATTCTGTTCTGTGTGTGATAAGACCAAAATACATGCTGTTTTTGTTTGACAAGGTTAAGTCATTCTCTTCTGTGTATGATGAGATCAAAAGCCATTAGTTTCACCGAATGATGAGGTCAAAGGTCATGTTCTCTGTACAATAAGGTCAAAAGTCATTGTGTTCTCTGTATTGTGAGTTCAAAAGTCATTCTGTTCTCTGTATAATGGTGTTTAAAATACAACTGATTTCTAGGTCTTTGTAAGTTCGTTCTAATACTTAGCTCCTCTGTTATTTTTACCTAGGTGTATGCAGATAGTATTATTAAGCTCCATGATCTGTATTTGCCTTTAGCATATAAAAACTGACTAGAATGAAGAAGGCTAGTTGCATCTTTATGTTCCCAAGTTATCCAAATCTTACTTTCTACCTAGTGTATACTTTTCCTTTGTCACCAACATATATGAAGAGAATCATATTAAATCAGTCAATTCCACTTCTGTTTCCCAGATCTGAATAAGAAACCTCAAAATACCACTAAAGAAACCAATGAAGAGACAGCAGAAGCTAATGATAAACTTTTCAAATAAGTTAAGTAAAATATCCGAGTCAATGAAAAAGTTAGTATTAAGTTATATATTGATAAGTTATTACTTTCTAGCACTTATCAAGTACTTCTATCATCGTACAATAACAGCTATTAATATACCTGAAGCTGTGGCTGGCCCAACCCCTTTCAGTGTTGTAAGAGCTGTAACAGCATTAGAGATGTTAGGGAGTTTTCGAAAAGCCTTTTTACTCGTTTTCTTGACTGCTGTCTCAGTGTTGATTCTAACGAGATCCATCAGGCGTGGGCGGAACTTTCCTCTCTAAGTAATAAGAATTTGAATTTAACACTTACATGAATATTCTTACATTATTACTGACCGTAAGGAACTAAAGAATTAAAATCATAAATAATATTCAACGTTAAAAGTATTTCTAGTAGTCTAAAATACACAGATATTACTTTACTGTTTATTAGACAATAAAACTACATTAATTTCATCTGAGCTAAATAAAGAATAGTAATAAAACTATTACATTGAAGGTGAGAATAATGTTGCCTATATATATATATACAACATAGCACTAACCCTAAACGCAAAGATAAACTTATGCTAAAGATTTAATGTAACAATATTCGTTTACTATAATCTTGAATAATGATTATATGTTAACACACGTTATATGTTATATAACATGTATGTTATATAGTGTTTAAGTAGAACTTTGTTTTATACAATAAAGTATAATTTCAAAACTTGCAAGGTATGAAAAATTTTAGTTTATGAGAAATGTGATAGAAAGTTAAATGCTTCTCTGTGGTTCATTTTTAACTGACTTAAAAGTTAAGACATCGTCACACTCACACGATGTTAAGCAAAGGACCCTCTAAACTGTAAACCTCAGTTAGCTTCTTAACAACACTTTGATTAATGTACTTAGCCTGCATCAATGTTGTTTTGATACAGAAATTTAAAATCTGAAATATTTTCTTACATTTTGTCAACTAAACTGATACTATGTACCCTAGTTTGGCAAAATAAAAGTTAAGATAATGTGATCTGTTTTTTTGAAAGATATAACTTTAAAAGAGAAAACGACAGGTTGACGTATCTTGTATCCTAAGGCAGACACATTCATTTTTGGAAACTACTCCAGTTGGACTTGACTGACAAAGATGGGAGACAGTTTAAATAATACTTATTTGTAGTAATAAATATTGAGTTAGTGTTTAAAAGTCCACACTGAACTTATACGTGCATGTTCATTTTGACACAAGTAGGAGCACTTCATGTATAAGAATTAAGATAGGAGCTGTCTGCTAAGGAGCTTATAAAGATAGGAGCTGTCTGCTAAGGAGCTTATAGCCCTGATAGCTCAGCCAGAAGAATATCAGTCTCACTGCTAAGGAGCTTATAGCCCTGATAGCTCAGCCAGAAGAATATCAGTCTCAGAACACTAGTGCAAGCTAGAGAACCTTGAATTCAAACCCTGGCCAGGGCATAGTATTGTTATTCCTTAAAAATAAATTGTTACAATTGGTGATGAAGTAAAACATATTAAAAGCTATAATAATGGCTCACAATCTGTTTCCATTTGGTTATTTGTATCAATTCTTCATGGGTGATGTGAGGGTCCTTCCTCGTACGTATGACCTTAGGAAGCTGTTCTTGATACCTAGAAGCAAGAATAAACATCATAAAACACCAGTCTGATTAATTAAAATACTCATTGGATACATAAGAGATAAAAAACATTTCAGAAATGTTTCACTCACGTCAAAAATTTTTAGATATCAATCATAAGCAAAAAACTTTAATTTGATGAAGTTAAAAATAGATTAAGATTTAGGAATATAAACTAAAAACTCATAAAGTACATTGTAACGTAGAGATACAACACAGATTATAATGTACTTTCAACCACCTATTGGTTTGGACTCCAAGTATACTGAATTTTTAGATTAGATTACTATACATCTTCTTAGTCATACAACCAAGAATTAAACTTTTTTAAGTCTTGAGCTTTTCCTTGCCAAATAAATTAGTTCGAAGTACATACAATGTAAACATATGAAAATAAATATTAAAACCAAGAAAGAATTTTTAAAAATCACCTATTACATATACATATAAGTAAACGATTCATGCATATCTAATAAGGAAAAGCTCTCTTAACAAAGATCAATATAATACTCTCAAAGGAAAGGAACGTTCAAAGCATATCAAATATGTAAAAAAAACCTCTTTGCCTGAAAGCAGCCTTTTACCATGCATGAGGTCTCTTGTGGCAATTAGCATGAAAAATCAATATGCCCCAACCATGTCTTTAATTAAAGTATGCTGGTAAGTTCCATCTACTCGCAAAATTGGCTCAACGCTGAGTGGTATCTGCAGAAAAGTGCATGCAAGGAGGAGGCTTTTTTTTTCAATTTATAACAGCTAGTTACTAAAACTGTTTTCTGTTTTTTACACCTGATCTCCATTTCAAAACTTTCTTGAATATTAACGGCCTTAAAAGGCAAGGACTATAATCACTTATAATGATAAAGATTTTTTTGTTCTTCTATTCACCAGAACTAATCAGTCCCATTTTTAGTGCTTCATGTAGCATTAATAACCAATAGTTCTATACAGATGTAGGAACACATTCACAACTCAATGCTGTCAATAACTGATACGAGAAGGAAAGCACACACACACACACCCTGAATCACTATAATCAATAACACTCTTAATGATATACAATAGTATCAACGATTCAGTATGATTTTTTTTAGACATACAATACACTGGTGTCTGTACATTATAATCTCTTCCATGCTTTACTTGTTTGGACAATTTTAAAACATCTTTTACTATTTTTCTTACCTTTAAAACTGTTCTAACATAAATACTCAGTCAGACACCAAATGCTAAATAAACTGCTGAATATGAGAGCTTGAAATTCAATTAAAGTCAAAAACGTCTACTTAACTAGCATTTAATGATAGTATTAGGCAGGTAGGCTTGTACCTGTTAATATATATTTAAATGCGTGAATCATACATAACTGTGAATGACTAAAACTTTTGTTAATAATAACTTCTACATGTACAAGTGTTTTCTTAATTTCAAGCGGCACACACCTAAATGTAAACAAAAATAGAAAAAACATGCATGTTACTTATATGAAGCCTTTCATATTTCTAAATTAAATAATGTATAATTATCTTATTTAAATGGTAGTTAAGAAAATCATTTCCATTTCCAGCTTACTAATATTCGTTAGGGTATCACAATTTTGTTTTTTTACTTTCTCGTTAGTTTTATGAACATCCATATACTGAAACTGGCACAAAAATATCCATGCACATGGAAAAGTAAACTAACTCGTGACGTACAACAGCTCATATACTAACACCAGAGTGCTCATTATACAAAAAAACTATCTTCATACACTATATTTGTTTGCTCCAAAAGAAATCTTTGATCGCATTTATACTCAGATGAGTATACTCATTAATCTCCGAGCTTGTTAAGAAAAAAAATTGGAAAGTTTAAAGAATGATAAGGCTCCTGGACCAGATAATATTTTTTCCTAGGGTTTTGAAAGAGGTTAAGGATTGGGTATTTAAAATACTTGTTACTATTATTTGAAAGTCCTTGCATGATGGGTAGGTGCTAGAGGATTGGTAGTTTGTTTAAGGGAGTTTAACGAAAAGCTTGATAAATATTTGAATGACAAGGACGGCTTTGAGTTTTTCTTTTCATATGTATAGGTTAGTTAAGTGGATGGTACTGCTAGGTGGACCAATAGGTCCTTTGTTGTCCTTAAATGTTAGAAACATGAGCATTAACAAAGAATCATATATACATGTCAGTACATAAGTAAAAAAAACGAATTAAAAACCAGCACATTACAATACGTAGTTCGTTACACATATTAAGAAACACATTAGTTACATGCACATGGGTTATTTTTTGCCCTAAAAAAAAAGTACCATATGGTTAAAATAGTATGATGCTGGTCATCTGTTGTTCTCACTGTTGTGAATTTTTACATATGTTTGTGAAATTGAACACAAATAACTAAGATATTCATTCAGCATATATTAACTGAGATATTGTTGATATTTTGCTCTTAACTTTTTGTTCATCTTTCAAGAGTTACTCTGAAGGACTTATTAAACTACAAGTATGTTTTTCAACCAGTATATATAAACATTAATCTTAAAATCTCAAATGACATGCAAGCAATTTCACCTACAATGGTATACACAATATTATTACAATGAACAAAGTAGCAGGATAAGATGCTAATATTCTAAAGAAAAAAAAAAAGAGCACACAAAGCAAGTTGACAGAAAATGAATCAAACTTGTAAAATCTTGTCAATCTACTTTGACTTCTTTTTTCAACTTTTAGCTTCATTGCTTTACATGTTTTCTACACATACATGTAACCATATATCCAAACCAATTATGTTGCTTTTAAACACAACTACAGTTTTGTGACTTTGAGTATGAAAGTGTTTCACGTGTCTACCTGCTTGTTTCTACTGAAAACTATATTTTATAGATAATTTTAATGCATCCTTGACACTTTTATTATGCTATTCCAAAATTTAAAATCTTATAAAATATGTGTTTAAAATACACAAGTATCATTTTAAAAGTTCTCCAGTTTTTTTTTACATTTAGCTCAAATATTTCAAATTATATCAGAAAATACTAAATTCCCCTCTCTCAACTACTGACTTTTCTTGTTTTTACTGATGTTGAAGTGAGTATCGGAAGCTGTTCCAAGAACAAATATATTTGTAAATAAGTGTTAATGTATGTTTGACAGACTACAGCTTCCATTTGGTCCAGAACTACAGCTGTACAATCTTCAAACTCTGCTTGGTTAGCTTGTGTGAGCATGAATCACTAACTAGTAGTCTTACAGAACATGTACGCTGCACCTGCTAATCCTTGATAATGTAAATATGCATTTACTATGACTTGTAAGGCTTCTCATGTTACACTGAATCTATATTAAGGCTAAAAGCTTGTAAAGATGAAGTAGCAATACATGTGTTTCTCTGTGTTATGTAACAGCTTTTCAGAACCAAGAATAACAATGCATCATAATTATAACACCACATACACTATGGATATTAAAGATGTCACAAGGATTTGTGATTGTGTGTATTTATACTCTGAATTTTAAACTATCCATATGTACTTCCTTTCCATTTCATTACCATGTAAAAACTTAACCAACTAATATAACTTACTAAAGAACAGTGGTTAAAAATTTTTAAAAATCTATGTACATACAGTGAACTTGTACATAAAAAATTTACCCATTTATAAGCTAGAGCCAACATTAACTGTCTAACTCAAGTTTTTGGAGCTTGAACTGTTCACGTATATGTATAGAAGTGCTGTTACCCAACAAAACAATCCTCTACACACTATTCTTAATCATAGCCGAAATACTTTCTTCATAGGTGTAGTAAGTCAGAATGAAGCAATACCCTCAGCTTTAGTTTAAACACAAAATCAAGTACTTTAGGATAAGTCTTTATTCCACTCAAACTTCATTTTATGTTAATAAGAATCTTCAAACATTTAAGGTATGTGTGGAAGATTACACATGATCAAACTTTTTCTCAAGATTACCATACCATTATTGAATACATCATTCCTAAACAAGATTTGATGAAGACTCCCAGTATAAGGACAAGGAACCATTTGGTTCTTCATGGTTGCCCTTGAGAAAAGTAAATATTTAAAAACAAACTTTATTTTTCAAGGAATAATCTATTCTGCTCTTAAGCTCTTATAAAAAAAAATAAGCAGCCTCCACTACTGTTGATGGCAACTCATTCCATAAGCCAATCACCCCATTAGAAAAATAAAACCGTTTTAATTGGAATCTGGCTAGTATTTTACAAATATTAAACTCGCATCCTCTCATCTTGCTGTTTTCAGAATACAGAACAACAAAATCATATGTTTTTAATCTTTAGAATAAAGCACTGTTTATTAATGCACAGTAACGGGTTAAATGTTTTTAGGTTTAGCGAGTTTAACTTCATTCTCAAGTGAGCTAGATTTCATTGGTGTAGGAAAAGTTGTCAATTTATAGCCAATTCCTAGCCTTGTTAGTTTTTCTAGGCCATTGTTGCACATATCTAGATGTTAGAATATCACCTTTTTATTTTTCCATTAATCATTTCATATAAAAGCTGAATTTTAATACTGTGCTCTAAGTGTTTCAGTACTTAATTATTAGTTCATATCAATCTTCTGAATTTACATGATTTAATGGTTTTAAGACAATAAAAAAATCAAAATTTATTTTGGCATGAAAAAAAAGTTGGTATATGAGCAGAAAAACTACGTGTATTCCATATTTTTCTTTGGGCAATTCTGAAACCTAAAATTTCATATTACAACAATCCTAAACTTTCAACGAGATAACTAAAACTCAAAGTTAACTTTAAACCTTGCGCCCAGCTCATTCTTGCACAGAAATATTTCCATTTTTACTTAAGGATAGTTTGTTTGATTACATAATGTATATATCTGGCACTATGTTATTTCAAGTTTTTCTTTTAAAAACGATGCATAATGCTATATTTACTTCGGTTAGTCTTTGGCTTGCTGAAACTAATGTTACATTTCCTACGTTATAAAATGATCTATGTAGTGTCATAACTAATAATAATATTACACATTCAACTCAAGCAAGGAAATATTTTCATTTCGTTAAATGAAGTTTCTGTTTTCACTTCAACTAGTATAGTCCTATTCTTAATCTGTTTTGTTTTTATATACGACCAAGTTATCAATAAGTATTACTATTAGGGCTAACCTATTGTATCCTTTGGGTAAAAAAATGTCAATATACAATAACATTTACTTATTTAAAAAGACTACGTTTCGTTAGTTAATAATAATAGAGACAGTAATGCTGGAAGTTACTGCTGTGCCCCGATATATCCGTCAATGCAGCTGCTGCGTCTACCGACTTTCCGCCGTGATCTTTACCTCTGCGTTGAACACCCCAAAGTACGACACCCATGATCCCGTCAGCTTTCAGCGCCCACAAAAATACCTTGAGGAAACCACGTGTCCACACGCGCGTCCAGACAACTTATTGATTACCACGTGATAAGACTTTTCAATTAATATCCGCGCGAAAGGTTCAAAAGTAGCAAACTCTTTGGCATACAGCTGCAGTTTACAATCTTAACCACACAACACTCACAAAGCCCTTGTAAGTCGAAGTACTAAGGTGATCGGCCTTGAAGCTTGGCTTTGGCACAAGCGACGCTTCTCACTTACCAAGTATCCAAGTTGATAAATTCCTCTGGCCCCTTTTTCTTCGTTCTCAAAGCAGCTTTAAGTTGCAAAACATCTTTGTAAAGAGACAGTGCATAATCCCACTGCGCCGGTGTGGCTCTCATAAAGAACATTAAAGTGGAATCGTTTACACCAGCCATAATGCAACACGTACAGTAGTCACCCTTCAGACGTCGATCGTGTCCCTCACTGCTACCCAATGATAAGGCAGTATGAGACAATGAAACGATGAAAACGTAGGTAGTTCCGGTTATTGCCTATAGATGGCAGCACAAACACAACAAAGCAGATATTATCATTCTTGTAAAGCTGAAAAGTGAGTATAAAATAAAATTTATAAATCATAATTATATGCAAAGATAAAGAGAGTCTGAGTATAAGCTAGTTGAATTTGAAATAAAACAGAAAAATTCATGCACTAAAATATATGAGGCTGAAATATAAATGTGTTACTCAGTCACAAATGTAATAAAAATATTAACTGAAGCCGTATACATGTATCGTGTTTTTTGTTTTGTTTATAGTTTTTCAAGAACCATTAATAATGTCATACTTTTTTCAGTAGAAGTAAAAAAAATGGATAAGCTAACGTAATGATGGTTGAAGTCCGGATGAGATGATGTCGCGATAAGCAGTGAGGTAAATGTACCCAAAATAAATAAATAAAACATATTTTTTGCTTTTAATAAATCTAAAACTAACTATACAAAATACAATAGAAAACGCAATAAAATGCAAATTTAGCACAAACATTAATTGACAATTTAATTATTATTTCGTTGGCAAAAACAACTGATTTGTGGTTAAGCAATACTCTTTTCTCTCTCTCTCTCTCACACACACACATGTATATATGTATCTATATATCATAGAAAGTTTTAGTGTTAATTTACCAATGCAGTTGTATCAACTACTTAACTCTTCCAAGTATCAAACCCCCCAATAGCACAGCGGTATGTCTACGGATTTACACAGCTAAAAACCGGGTTTCGATACCCGTGGTGGGCAGAGTACAGATAGCCCATTGTGTAGCTTTGTGCTTAACTTCAAAACAAACAAATCAAAGTATCAAATATATTTTCATTACGTAGGGTCTCCATTTTTGTTTTTAAGGATGTAATCTTTCAATCATTTTACTATTTAAAAAAACAACTTATAGATAAAATAAACAGCAGTTTATAAAACCTTGAAATAAAGTTATCACAATAACTTTTTTAAACAAAACTGAGGTGTTAGTAAGCAATATGGACTTAGTCCTTGCTTTATCGGCAACAAAAGCGTACACGGAGGGAATTAATCACCAACAGTTTGGAAACATGGTCACGATAATCTTTCTGAGCCTGTTGATATCCTATATGCTTTGTTGTTGTGCGTTTTACCGCTTCCATGAAGAACTTTGGAGGTTCCCTTCTTCGAAATATTGTGTTTTTGGCTCTACATCAGTTAATTATCTCGATATACGAATATCCTTCCTTGGAATTGGTTGTTGCAAATCCTCCAACCTAAGTACATCCATGTTGATATTAAACATCGCACAATTCCAACGTGTTTTTGGCTCTACATCAGTTAATTATCTCGATATACGAATATCCTTCCTTGGAATTGGTTGTTGCAAATCCTCCAACCTAAGTACATCCATGTTGATATTAA